ACGGGGAATTTAGCTTTAGATCTCTGGTAGTTCTTTCATTGATTTATCCAAATATATGACTGCCCACACAGCAGGTGCTGGACAGGACAGTGCTTTCTGCGAAGCATTTCCTCTCCTTAGGATGATATTCCAGAGCCTTCTGCTAATTTGATCAACACACACCTTCCTGAGGACAGTGCCCAAAGAAGCCTGTGCTCACGCAGGCTCAATGACTTCCAGCTTTGAAGCAGTGCAGAGATCACCAATGAGCCTCTTGTTGTTTTCAAAACATGGTGAGATAGGCCACTGATTCAGAGTGAATTTGGAAACTTTGGGTGCACTGGTTAATTTCTACTATTTTCATTTTTAACCAAATATTAATGCTTTTCAAATTTCAGCTAGGTTGGTGAATTTCCTTGTTCTTTCTTAATACAAGTTGAAATACTGAGGGTTGCTACATTTACTTTAAGTGATTCGCAAACACATCCACGTGTGTAAGTAAAGAGACAAGAAGAAACAAATGTGGTAAAATGTGGATATTTAATAAATCTACCGGCCGAGCAGACATCCACGGTGGGGTTTTTCCAGCTTTTCCTGAATGTTTGAAATTTGTCATAATGCTAAATTAGTGCCTAAAGCGGATTGAGAAAATTACAAGAGTCCATGGAACAGTACCTTCCAAACGAATGGGGCTCTCACTGGATGGTGCATATTCTAGTCAACAGAATGGCCTAACAGTTCAGAAGGCTCCGCAGATCCCTGACAGACCATGACAGTCAGGAAGGTGAAATCGCGTTTACAGTTCAGATTAGTTCTTTTATCTAGGAAAAATAATGTTTAATCTCAGAAAAACCCATGCCCGTCTGACGACCAGACTTTACTACACTGGAGAATCACTAACAAGACAGAAGAGCTCCTCCTCTGGGAAAATAAATTTTGTCTTGCTGTTGTGAGATGTAATTTGGTCACATTTTTCTAGCTCTGTTGGGGACAGTCCTCACTGGCAGATGGAGGACACCGCAAAGCTGAGCCCCAACTCCTGAAAGGCGATGCTGTGTGGCTGCTGGTGGCCAGGCTCGGTCCTCTGTCTGAACCCACAGCTGTCAAACCAGAGACCCAGGGTCTGTTCTTTGTCAGTCGGCCTTATCACAGCTGCTGGGGGTCACAGATTGAATTATGGCTTCTCTGTGGGCTGTGGAGCCACTTAGTTAAGGTTTTTTCAGCCTCATTGGGCCACTTATCCCCCCGGTGGTGTCTCTCCGTGCCCTTGGGAGAGGGGTCCCAGCGCTGGAGGCCTGTGGGCCTGGCGCGCAGACTCAGGACCTAGGAGCAGGAAAGAGCGCCACTCTGTTTTCACGCTCACTGGAGTTTAAGCAACAAGTAGGGACCTCCATTCCAAATGGGAGAAATCATCCTTGGTTCCCCTACAACTCTGCCCTGCCACCTCTGCCACAAAACCCCAGGGACAAGCTTTGGAAATGTGTATGGCACTGGTGCAGTCACAGAACAGGTATCTGCTGAGGGACTAGAGGCACAGAGACAAACTGGCTGCGGCCCAAACGCTTGCAATAAATGTGGGGAAAGCGCTATATACACATACAAATTTGTACTAATAAAGACATTTGCTGCGGTACACTCTTGGAGTCAGAGACAGATCTATCTTGCAGTAAAGTATCTGGGTGATTTTGCTTATCTGTTTGTTTGCTCTATGGTACCTGAGAGTTTTCTTCTTTACAAAATCGTTGCCTTCAAGACCAGGCATGGATTACAGGTGTGTACCTCCAGGGAGGCTGGAGCAGGAAGACTGAGAGTTCAAGGTGAGCCTGGCCATACAGCAAGATCTTGTAAGCAAACAAATGTCTCCTCAGGGGTTAGTGTAGGATCAAGGACAGCCAAGTCCTTCAGTAAAGCTCTCTGTCTCTGTCTGTCTCTCTCTCTCTCTCTCTCTCTGTCTGTCTGTCTGTCTGTCTCTCTCTCTCTCTCTCTCTCTCTCATTGATTGTGGGGATTGATCTCAGGGCCTGTACACTGTCCCTAAGCTTTTTTGCTTAAGGCTAGCACTCTACCACTTTGAGCCATGGCACCAGTTACAGTTTTCCAGTTGTGAATTGGAGTTTAGATTATCATGGACTTTACTGCCCTGGCTGGCTTTGAACTGGGATCCTCAGATCTCAGCCTCCTGAGTATCTGGGATTATAGGTGTGAGCCATCTGTGCCCAGCTTTCCTTCAGTGATTGCTGAGACCCACCCAGGCCATACCCATGCGTAGATTCCCACCCCTCCCATCCCATCCCCCACTCCCGCCATGTAGGGCTGAGGAGTCTACCCACATTCCTCAGTTTATTTAGCACAGGCTTGGTTTAGAATAGCTGCGTCTGGGATGCCTAATTCTGTCTCATTGAGAAACATTAATAATGTGACTTGTTTAGAACCAGACATGCTGGGTCCAGAACAAAGTGTTAGGTAGGGTTGCAAACATCAGATATTAGTTTATGATCTCCTGTTTCCTGTTGCTCTTAAATAGAAACAAAACTCCATGCATCCCAGTTCTGAATTAAGAAAACAAACAGAGACATTTTTCTGTGCCAACAACTGTGCCAAGAGTGTGTCAGCCAATAATATCTGCGGCGCTCACCAGGCCGCCAACAGTGGCACGTATTGTGCAGTGGAAATTTCTGGAGAGGCTGCATTTAGGTGCATTAAGGTTTCCCATAAACACAGGCTCACGGGCAGAGAAGCCCTTTGCGTGGGAACCTTTTTCTCTAGAAGGAAGCCGGTTCACTCCTTAGGAAGAATAATGCATGCAAACAACAGTTCAGAGCAGAACCATTCCCTGTGTCTCTCAAGGCGTGGGTTAATGTGGTATAAAAGAAAACTTGATGGTCAGCTATCATTAACGCATGATTCACAGAGGAAGCCATGAGTAGCCCTGAAAGCACCCACAAGAAAATGTCCACTTCTGTGGAACACACCCAGCGCCAGGCAGGAATGGGCCGCATGACTGTGCGGATGGCCACAGCTGGGCTAATTTAACAACAGCACTAAGGCATTATTGGCAGAAGATCTGTGCAAGGTTCCGACACGTAAGTGTTCACGGGTGCTCGTGCTCTTACCTTCTGAGAGCTTCCCTTATAAACCCCTTCCCCTCACCCCTTGGGGTGCATACAAAGCAGGCAGCTGCACAGATGAGCAGCAAGTGAATCTAGACCAGCGCTGTCCTAGCATGCAGGACTCCCAGAGAAAACTGGGAATTGACACCCAACCCCTGAACTGCCCAATCAGAGCGAGTGGATGCATTTTTCAAGAATTAATCACAGGGCTTTGATGTGAGCATAAACCAGGAGAGGTTGTTACAGAGTATCCCATTTCAAATCTCTCCAGTTGGCTTGGATTTAGCTGCCTGGAACTGCAAAGGTTGAAAGAAAACCATTTGCTGGGCCTGTTTTTCTGTCTTTCACTCTGCTTGACATCACATCAGGTGAAATCAGTCCTGTGCCGGTGTCACCTGCTCACCGGCCTCAGGACACAACCGCTCCCATGCCAGGGAGGCTTGGCCCAAGACACAGCCCCCTCCACCCCACCGAGGGCGGGCGCATTTCACCCACAGACACGCCCTTCGCAGTCAGTCAGAATGACTACATTTGTGATTAGCCACCAAGATATCCATGGGGACTTGAGACTTTTAAACCGGATTTTCCTGGCCCAGGAGGGCGCAGGTCTGGCCCTGAACAGGGGCTTCCACGGCCTCACCTGCCTGAAAGGTCACGCGCAATTTTTAACGCTCATTGTGTGCTTACAAAACTTGGAAAACCTCTTGGCTTTTAGTCCGTGCAGTTAATTGGGAAAAATGTAAAGCAGTTTAATGGAATTCCCACGATCCGCAGGAGTTTCTTTTCTTCTAACAGATGTTTTAAACAGGCAAAGCGACGACCGCGGAGAGACGAGGCCGAGCTCTGGGTGGCATGGCTGCCGGCAGGACGGCGTCCTGGGGGTTCTCTGGCTGGCTCGGCTCCGGAGGGCCGGGCGCACCCAATGCAGGCCCCCACGTGTTCCTCGAAACTCCTGCGGGCACCCACGATCTGGAGGTCACCAGGATCGGGCGCCCCGTCCAGGGAGAGTCCAGGGGTCGCCGGCCTTCCCCGCGGGGCACCGCACGGCGGCCGGGTGCGCGAGGGCGCGAGTGCCAAACGGCGACTTTCCCACCCGGATTCACGCCGCTCCCGCAGGGCGCCCTCCACCCTCGGGCGGCCCTGGCGGCTTCTCCCCCAGGAGCTGGAGGGGAGCGGTGACGGGGAAGGGAGGGCCTTGGGGGCGTCCAGGACGGACGGAGCTACCGCCTGGGTGCGGGCGCGAGGGGTCGTGGGACCGAGGAAGGGGGCACTGGGCGCAGGGCTCGCGGGGGGTGGGGGGGGTGGGGAGTGGGAAGGCGCCGGGGGCGGCGCGGAGTGGGCGGGGCGCGGGTTCGGGGCGGGGCGGAGCGCGGGTCCGGGGCGGGGCGCGGGCTCGGGCCGGGGCGGAGCGCGGGTCCGGGGCGGGGCGCGGGCTCGGGCCGGGGCGGGGCGCGGGCTCGGGCCGGGGCGGGGCGCGGGTCCGGGGCGGGGCGCGGGTCCGGGACGGGGCGCGGGCTCGGGCCGGGGCGGGGCTCGGGCCGGGGCGGGGCTCGGGTCCGGGGCGGGGCGCGGGCTCGGGCCGGGGCGGGGCGCGGGTCCGGGGCGGGGCGCGGGCTCGGGCCGGGGCGGAACGCGGGTCCGGGGCGGAGCGCGGGTCCGGGGCGGGGCGCGGGCTCGGGCCGGCCGGGCGGCTTCGCCCAGGGCGTTCGGGGTTCACTGCGCCGCTGACGCCGGGACCAGTCCGAGTGCGGAGCCGCCGGAAGTGGCCGCGCGCCGCCCGCCGCCCGCCGCCCGCCGCTGTGCGCCCGGGCCGCGGCCTCCAGCCCCCGCCCGCCCGCCCGCGCGCCGCGCCCCGCGGCCATGCGCCCCGCCGCGCCCGCGCTGAGCCGCCCCGCGTCCCGGCCGGCGCCGGCGGAGGAAGCCTGAGCGGCGCGGAGCCCGGCGCAGCCCGCGGACGCCATGGGGCTGCCCACCCTGGAGTTCAGCGACTCGCTCCTGGACAGCCCCGACTTCAGGGAGCGCCTGCGGTGCCACGAGGTGGAGCTGGAGCGCACCAACAAGTTCATCAAGGAGCTGCTCAAGGACGGCTCGCTGCTCATCGGGGCGCTGCGGGGTGAGGGCCGCTGGGCGCGGGGGGCGCGGACCGGGGCGGCGGGGGGCGCGGGCCGGGGCGCGGGCCGGGGCGCGGGGGGCGCGGGCCGGGGCGCGGGGGCGCGAGGGGCGCGGGCCGGGGCGCCGCGGGGGGCGCGGGGGCCGCGGGCCGGGGCGGCGCAGGGGCCGCGGGCCGGGGCGGCGCAGGGGCGGGGCGCGGGGTGCGTAGGGGAGTCCTGGACCCCAGGGTGCCGTGGCCCCGGTTCCTTTTCCTTTGTTTGCGGGGCGCGGGGGCCGAGCCGCGCTCCCCCGGGTGTCGCGCGTCCGCGTCCAGGTCGGCTCTCCGCCGCAGCCCCGCGGACCCGGGTCCCGGAGCTGGGCAGGGGGTGCGCCGCTGTCTGTGCTCTTTTGGGGTTACCTCGCCTGAAGCACTTTAGAAGTCTGGGGCCGGGAGGAATCGAGGGCGCCGCTGACCGAGAGCCCCTCCCGCACGCCGGGCGCTGGGGGGGGGGGGAATGGTGTCCTGCGTGTCCTTCCGCTGCGCTGTGTCCGTGGTTCTGTCTGCTGTGTCCGCGGTCCTGTCTGCTCCGTGTCCGTGGTCCTTTCTGTGCTGTGTCTGTGGTCCTGTCTGCTGTGTCCATGGTCTTGTCTGCTGTGTCTGTGGTCCTGTCTGTGCTGTGTCTGTGGTCCTGTCTGTGCTGTGTCTGTGGTTCTGTCTGTGCTGTGTCTGTGGTCCTGTCTGCGCTGTGTCCGTGGTCCTGTCTGGTCTGTGTCCGTGGTTCTGTCTGCGCTGTGTCCGTGGTTCTGTCTGCGCTGTGTCCGTGGTCCTGTCTGCGCTGTGTCCGTGGTCCTGTCTGCGCTGTGTCCGTGGTCCTGTCTGCTGTGTCCGTGGTGCTGTCTGCGCTGTGTCTGTGGTTCTGTCTGCTGTGTCTGTGGTCCTGTCTGCGCTGTGTCTGTGGTTCTGTCTGTGCTGTGTCTGTGGTTCTGTCTGTGCTGTGTTCGTGGTCCTGTCTGCTGTGTCCGTGGTGCTGTCTGCTGTGCCCGTGGTCCGTGCGCCATGGTCCTTCTCTGTGTCTGTGGTCAGGTCGCTGCCCGTGGTCTGGGGACCCCACCGGCCTCGGGGCTTCTCCTCCTCCTTGCCCTCCAGGTGGGGCCTTCTCGCCTTCCAGCTGCAGAACTTGGCTTGGGTGAGGAAGACATTGTCAGAAACTTAAGTTTTCCAGACGTGGCTGAAGGACTCAAAGCGAAGGCTTCCCCCCAACCCTGCGTCTCGGGAGCTTTTCCATGCTCTTTTTCTCTGAAGTGAACATCCGAATCTAGCCTCCAGTGCCCACCTGGCTCGGAGCCCTTCCAGTGGTCCAGTCACCGCAGGCCTGGGGGCTCCTTTGTCTGGGCCGCAGGCGAGGATCTGTGCAGCCCGCGTGTATTTTGCAGTGCATACCCACAGCAACGATGCGGCGGAGACGTGCCTTGAGAGGATGTGTTCCAGAATCCTGTTTTCTTTTCACCAGCCAGAAGACTAAACATTTTTACTTGCCACTTCTGCTGCTTAACTGGAGTCAGGAAAAGAGGTTCCCTGCCACCTCTGAGCTGGACTGTGGTTCTTCCCTCTCTCCTGGTTTGCGCATCCCCCCCCCCCCCCCCCCCCCCGTGGTTTGCCCGCGCTTCTTCAGAAAGAGCTGCCCTGCACCTGGGTCGGAGCAGGCTAGCAGGGCCCCCCTTGTCCCCTACCCTGGGGCGGTGGCGGTGGCAGTGTGTGTAGGGGCAACCAGGGTTTGCAGAGTAGAAAATACCACACAGACCCGATCCAGGCTGTGCAGGTACACCGTCCTTCTGAGGACCCTTGAGCGTAGCCTGGTAAACACCAGATGCGTTTTCCCGCCCCACAGTGAATGAACGGGCTTGAGGCCTGACCTCCCCAGCCACGCAGACCCCAGCTTCATGAATTTGGCCCTGTGCGCTGGGGCGGGTTGTTTTGTTCCAGGACGAGGGCTTGAACTCAGAACCTCACACGCGTACTTGGCTTTTTTGCTGGAGGCCAGCACCTTCCACTGAGCCACACATCGCTTACACAGAGCTTCACCTTAGTGACATTTGACTGTGACTTGCTTTCTTGTGGATCGAATTCTCAGCTTTGCTGCCTCAGGGAGGCTGTGTAGGGTCCAGGGTCTGTGAAGGTGCTGTGGTGTGGGGGTCCTGGGCCTGTGGTATGGGGTCCCAGGCCTGTGGAGTGGGGTCCAGGCCTGAGAAGGTGCTGTGGTGTGGGGGTCCTGGGCCTGTGGTGTGGGGGTCCCAGGCCTGTGGAGGTGCTGTAGCGTAGGGTCCTGGGCCTGTGTGGCGTGGGGGTCCCAGGCTCTGTGAAGGTGCTATGGCAGTGGGGTCCTGGGCCTGTGGCGTGGGGGTCCTGGGTCTGTGGCGTTGGGGTCCCGGGCCTGTGGAGTGGGGTCCCGGGCCTGTGGAGTGGGGTCCCGGGCCTGTGGAGTGGGGGTCCCGGGCCTGTGGAGGTGCTGTGGCATTGGGGGTCCCGGGCCTGTGAAGGTTCTGTGGCGTTGGGGGTCCCAGGCCTGTGAAGGTTCTGTGGCGTGGGGTCCCGGGCCTGTGGCGTGGGGGTCGTGGGCCTGTGGTGTTGGGGTCCCGGGCCTGTGGAGTGGGGTCCCGGGCCTGTGGAGTGGGGTCCCGGGCCTGTGGAGTGGGGGTCCCGGGCCTGTGAAGGTTCTGTGGCGTTGGGGGTCCCAGGCCTGTGAAGGTTCTGTGGCGTGGGGTCCCGGGCCTGTGGCGTGGGGGTCGTGGGCCTGTGGCGTTGGGGTCCCGGGCCTGTGGAGTGGGGTCCCGGGCCTGTGGCGTGGGGTCCCGGGCCTGTGGAGTGGGGTCCTGGGCCTGTGGAGTGGGGGTCCCGGGCCTGTGGAGGTGCTGTGGTGTTGGGGTCCCGGGCCTGTGGAGTGGGGTCCCGGGCCTGTGGAGTGGGGTCCTGGGCCTGTGGAGTGGGGGTCCCGGGCCTGTGAAGGTTCTGTGGCGTTGGGGGTCCCGGGCCTGTGAAGGTTCTGTGGCGTTGGGGGTCCCAGGCCTGTGAAGGTTCTGTGGCGTTGGGGGTCCCAGGCCTGTGAAGGTTCTGTGGCGTGGGGTCCCGGGCCTGTGGAGTGGGGTCCCGGGCCTGTGGAGTGGGGGTCCCGGGCCTGTGGAGGTGCTTTGGCATTGGGGGTCCCGGGCCTGTGAAGGTTCTGTGGCGTTGGGGGTCCCAGGCCTGTGAAGGTTCTGTGGCGTGGGGTCCCGGGCCTGTGGCGTGGGGGTCGTGGGCCCGTGGCGTGGTTTCCTGGGCCTGTGACAGTGCTGCTTTTTCCTGTCCCACCATTTGCTGTGCCTTGCTCTGAGCTCAGCCTGCAGCTGCAAGTGCTTAGTGCTTAGTTCTTGTTTTCTGCCTTGGAGCAGGCTGAGCTATTATGACTGAGTTTTGTGTGTGTGTGTTTATACTTCGCTGTTTCATGAATAAGTACTGACTTACTAAGACAATATTTGCACCTGGTATTTCAAGTTCCCACTCTACCTGTTTGCTTTCTTTCTTCTCTTTGGCTCTTTGCTGGTTAGTTGGGTGATGGTCTCACGGACTTTCCTGTCTAGGTTGACCTTTTAATCCAGGTCCTCAGCTCTTGGCTTCTTGAGTGGCTCCCGGGCCTGGCATTACTTCTGTTCTTGCTGATAAGTTTTCTGGTGTTTTGGCACGAGTTCTCTTGGCTAGTGCCCCTGTGACTGTCCTTCCCAGCGAGGCCCGGGACCCTGGTGGGGCGGTATGCTCTGAAATGAGCCTAGCAACAGCACTGATTTGGTGGGGAGAGCCTTTTGCTGCACCTTTCCCAGCAATGCCTGGCCAAATCTGACCAAGGCTTTTCTTTCATTACCTCAGGTTTGAGTTGGCCAGCTATCTAGTCTGCCTTCAAGATGGAGTTTCTCCAGCCTGTATGTTTGGGATTCTGTTCTAGTTCACATCTAACTTATTATGATTGTTCGTGTATGCATGCACAGAAGTGTGATTTTGTGTGCAATGTCTTAAAAAGAGAATCCGTTTACCACTTTCATGTAGACAGCACTGAGGGCTGCCTCAGCCTGTCAGCCATGGTGAATGGATCCAGGGCAGGGCTGTGGCTGGGAAGGGATTTCCTCACTCAGGCACGGCTGATCGCATCCCACGTGGCGTTGCAGCCGTGGTTCAGTTCTCCCTGCTTTTCCCAGTGGAGGCTGCACTTGGGAATCTCCTTTTCCTGCCTGCTTCCATTGCTGGCTTCTTTTTAGGGGCCAGATGACTTGTGTTCTGGGAACAGAAGTTCCTGGCAATGGGGACACGTGCCCAAAGCAGGAGGAGGGCATGGCTCCCGGGTGGGCTCGCCCCGGTCCATGCTGTGTGCACGCTGTGGACGTGGCCAGGGAGGTCCATGGCTGGAGCCAGCACCCATGGTTTCAGACCGAGGTTTGAGGTTCAGGGCTGCGGTGGTCTTGTGGTTGGGGACCAGGTAGGTTCTACCCCAAGAGAAAACCCAGAAAACAAGAATCCACGTGACTCTTCCTTCCGTCCGCAGTGTTTTGCCGCTGTCCGGGCCGAGAGGCATCTTGTGCCAAGCCAGGCTTCGGTGCGCTTGGGGCCTGCCAGAACTGTTGATGGCACAGGCCAGGAATTAAGAAGGGAAGAAAGAAAAAAGCGTGAGACGTTGGCCAGGTCTCCGTGTCCCTGGGGACTCCCAGCTTACAGTGAGAACGCTCTTCCGGGGCCATTTCCAGCTTTGGATTTTGTACCCAGCCTCTGCTTCGCAGGGGTGGAGCTCCCAGCTGGCCTGTGAGCCAGAGGTCAGCCAGCACCCCAGATCCAGCGGGGCCCTGCTCTTTGGCTTGGGCCTCTCAAGCCAAGGTCAGGACTGAGTCAAATGAGCAGAAGTGGCTGCACCCTTGAACGCACCGTGATTAATGTTGAGAGGCTTTGATTCCGTCCCCGTGTTGCACCCGTGTTAGTTTCCCGGAGCCTTGGTGCTCTTGGAA